GAAATATGATTTATATTGCTGTGACGATTTGGTTGCAATCTTCGAAAGAGAAGAGATTGTCCTCGTCTGTGGGGTCTCCATTCGTTTGCCTATGGAGAAGACTTCTTTTGGGACTTGCATCCCTCCTATGCATATCCTCGTTGGCTTTCTTGTCAACGTTGCTGGCAGCCGGGATAGGGGAAGAAGGGTGCGAAATATTGTCCCGGTGGAGATGCGCTCTGCCTGTTTGAATAGCGTCGAGATCGGTCACTCGATGAGCGGCGGAAAAAGCAAAGTCGCTGGAGTCAAAGTACGTCCGTTCCTTCCGATTGTCAGCACGCTCACAATAAATCACATTTTAAGTACCTTGGGTTTTTCACCCAGTAAGCCTCTACGCGGCCGCTTTCCGTACTTGCTCAAGTAACGTTTCTCACTTTCAGACAATGGCTGAGGGAATATTATTAGCGCCCTTGCTCCAGGGTTGGGTGGGTGTGGAAAGGCCCTACTTCAGGATATGGTTCCTTGCCCCCTAGAGGGACATGACTTGGACAATGGGTTTTTGATTTGGGTGCCAAGCTTTTAGTGGGAGTTTGCGGTGCCATTCTACCTTGAGACCCGAGGAGTATTGTCGGTGGTCATGATCGTTTCTTCGGCTGGTTCTGTTTTTACCCCCTCTATTGAACACTACGTCATATTTACTTTCTTCCGCTCAATAATTGGCCTGAAACGCCGGAAAATTAGTCCGATACCCAGTTCCCAGCTTCCTTAAGTACGACTGATATCACTCCACGTTATAGCAGTCTCACCAAGCCTAGCTACTACACCACGGCAAGCAGATATCCACGACAAGCAGTCATATTTGACTCCAGGATCCATAGGCACGGTCTAGGCACGCTCTTCGTCGCTCCCAGGAGTTGGAATCCGAAGCGGCTGCAGCCACCGAGGTGGGGAAAGCGGACGCCCAGAGAAGGGCAACAACTGATGCTTTTGATGGAACATCGTAGTCAAGTTCTAAGCATAGCCTTCACCAGGTCTCTTTACGTCTGATACTTACGGCTGTGCGGATCTCAAAATTGCAGGGGGCGCTAGTGCAGTCTAATGGCCTGGCAGGCTTGAGACCGCGGTCTTGGAATCTGCTGGGTCTCTGACTCTGTGTCTACCGCCCTCGAGTCGGTGTCATCGAGCCCTAGTACGTAGTCTCATGTATGCAGACTTCAGTTTTAGGTTACATGTCAACAGGCTTCAGCTACGGTTATTTTAATCGCCTTTGATTTAAGTCTTTAGCCTAATATCCTTGATAGTCTTGTGACAATGAACACATGCCCGATTTGGCCTTCGATCCTCTCGAGCCATGAGACTAGTTTCATGAAACCTTTATTGTCATACTAGAACACATTTAATGTTATACACCAATAATCTCAAATTAACCTATCACTCACATCTGATTCCGCCATCCGATGCTACACGATTATCAACTTTTCAGTCTCTTCGACCGACGCAGCGAAGGCTTGACGCGGGCGGGTCGTCCCTTTGCCCGCTTTTTTACTTCCGGCTGCTCTTCCGAGTGGTCGCGAAGTAGAGATGAGCGCGTCGTATACTGTCGATGGGGCCCTGGTTCGGAACTTGCCGCCTTTGCAGCTCGCTTCGCCATTTTTTGCCTTGTAGCAATCTCCGTTGAGCACGGACCGCTTTTTGTCACCCCAGAACCGACTGAAGACATGAGAATATCAGTACCTGGTTGGTTCGACGGGGGCTCCGTGTTGACAGTATGGGGTTCTAGCAAGCGTGGGTCGATATTCGTTATCTCAAAGCCGACAGAGGAGGCTGGAGTCTCAGTCCTTGATCGAGCTTCGGATTCCGAAGATACCTCTGAGCTGTCAACGGATGTAATGGCGCCGCAAACAGGCCGTGACTCTTCTGGGAGATGGCAAAGTTTGATATTGACATCATATGTGTGCACTTTGGCGGCATGAGCCAGAAACTCAGTGACTTTGGCGAACTTTGGCACATGGCTGCAGGCTGCCCAAGTGCAGCTGATGCCGTCGTGCACATGAAGGAAATGGGCGTCGATGAGATGACGGCGAAGAGAATCTTTTCGCTTGGCTGGAAATTTATGCGGAGGAGGATTCGATGCTGAGCGACGAGATTCACCACAACAGATGATGCAAACATCGGTTGGACATTGTTGAGCATCCTCTTCAAAAGACGCTAGTTGTTCGGACTGTTCAATAGGTCTATTTCCCTCCTCATCGAGATCCCAATTAACTCGATTGCCTCGCCTGCTCGGCTCGCAAAGCTGTAGAAGTGCAACCATGTCCTTGGTAACCTGAATGCGTCGAGTAAGTAATTTGTCCTCGTCAAAATCTTCTGCTTCAGGACCGTAAAAGTTCTCCACAAGCCGAGCTCGTTCAGGAAATACGTAGTCCGGGATAGGGAGCTCCCAGTCTTCTTCAGCGGAACTATCAGCATCGCGTTCCTCAACATCAGATTCGCCGAGAAGCATTTGCTTGATCTGTCGGTCAACTTCAAGCACGGGAGCATTATTAAAATAGTCCTTTCTGGCTGTCTCGCGAGTTTCGATCGCCAATGTTTTCCGAAGTTTGGCCAGGTCTTTTTTGACAGTCTCATGCCTTTGGAAGAGGTGTGGGAAGGTGTCACGGGCGTTCTTGATTGTGCCAGCCACGGACCGCATCTCCGCCATAAGCTCTCTTTTCTCGCGTCTTAGTTGCAGAATTTCAGGGTTTTGGCAAATAGCACGTTTATGAGCTTCGGTAAGATCAGATGGTGCCGATAAATCTCTCTTCCTAAGCATGCTCCCAGCGAAGCTTACCAGACCTTCTTGGGAGGGCCGAAGAAGAACGACATGCTGAAGGTCGCGCGCAATAAATTGTGATTGGTAATGCTTTTCAAACACCGCGTCACCAGACTGCCCGAGCACCCTTTGTCGTTCCTGGCTGGTAAAATTTTCTGCGAGTAGATAGTCAGCTCCGTTGCGAGTGATATCATCTATCATGGCGAAAATGAATTCATCATATCGCGTTCAGCAAGTGACATACTGTTGACTTCATTTGCCGTCCAGCGGCGGTAATTGTAATGCCCAATATCGTCTTCAAATCTAGCATCTCGACCCAACTCCTTGAGCGCCTGCCGACTTGAATCATAGGTCATTGGCAAAGACCCATCGAGTCTGTAGCCGTATGGAGTACGTTCAAGACGTCGAAGGAGAGGCACATTAAGAACCTCGGGCTTCCACCGGAGGGGAAGAGATGAACTGCCTCTTGGAACTCGTAGCCGCCAAATGAGCTCCGGTGTGAGGTCGGCATTGGCAAAAGCTCCATCGCGGAAAGCGAACGCAATGATCTGAGTTATCGGGCAATATGCCAGTTGATAATCGCCGTGCATGAAGAACTTGGTTCTGTTGGCAAGGATCAGTATCGAAGTTGGTTCATGAGAAATTCGAATCAAAATTTCAGCTTACCCATCAGCGCCTTCCGGTCGACCTTTGAGATTGCGAAACTCGATGATGGCACAGAGGACATCACGTTTACTTTGAAGGTCTTTCAGGTAGAAAAGTTCGATATCGCGATAGCAGACCGAGTCCGGAAGATCTTTCAAGGAAATGTGCTTTGGAAGATCACTCTGGAAGGTGTCATCCCGTTTGCGTTTGCCCAAAACTGGATTGCCAAGCGACGAGGTATCTTGAGGAAGCAAGACGCCAGGTCGCGTGCCTGTAATGGCGGACCAGAGCTGGACTGTAGCAAACTGAACAATCATGCTCCCGTGACGAAAGAATCTCGAATGGACCCAGTGATGCCGGTAAATCACACCAAAAGCATCCACATCTAGAGTATTTTTGTCCTTTGTTCGTCGGGGAATTTTGCGCTCGGCTGGGAATACACCTTCGAGAAACTTTTCCAAGGTAAGCATACTCTGTTTAGGAACAGACAGGATATAACTTACTCGTCGCATCTGTTGACGGGCATCCTCACCGACGCGGCGACGGGCGAATAGCTCGAAGTATTGACAAAGGCGTCGCCAGTATTCATCATATGACTGAAGCAGTTTCTTTCGTGATGTTTTGAACATCCAATCAAAAAAGTTCATGTAGATCGTCTGATCCTCCAAAAGAAGAAAGTCCACATAATCCTCGTTCGATTGAATGCAATATCTATTCCCGTGTTATTCTCAGTCACAAGACTTTTCCCGACCAAGTGAGCACTCACTTTCGCCAATAACGTTCGACGACAGCGATGCCTTCTAAGGTCTTTGGCTTAAAGTTTGGAGGGAGCCATCCAAGACTGCGAAAATGCTCCAGTCTGGCTCGAGTTTCCTCGCAAAGAATGGGATCAGTCCAGTATTGGTGCTCATCAGTTTGAGCTGGATGTACAGGCGTAGGTGCCATGGAGGAGGTCAGATACAAAGACCAGGGTGGAAAATTCGTGATATGGGAAACGACAACGTCAAGGTCGGCTTGAGGCGTGGGCAACGAGGATGAGAGAATGGGAGGTGCGATGACACCGGAAGGGAGGGAAGGCGAAGCATCTTATAGGCGCTCAAATGAACTGGGCGAAAAGGGAGGGGACTTAGATTCAGCCGAAGGGGAGCCATTTTCGGCGTCGTCTTGGTCGCCAGTGGAAACGAGGGGAACAACTGTGCAAGTCGAGCGTCAACATCAGGACCGGAGGATGACTAACAGTACTAGGTGGGTGCAGAATAGTGGTGTTACAGGGCAGTGGGCGGTCAAGGGGCGGCTGGACATTCAAAGTTACGGGTGGAAAGGAAGCCGTTTCTGGCGTCAAAAGTGGTCATTTTCGGCGTCATTTTCACAGGTCCTCATATTCTATATGTAAAAAGAACGCAGAGTTGCTCGTAAGAATTTTTAAAAGTGGATGCCCATCCATGTGTACGCGTGACATCTTATAAAAGGGCCTCGGTTCGTTAGAAGACTTGCTCTATGGAGGACATTTGAGATACATTTTCATTTTGAGTAAATTTTGAGCAACTTCACAAGGCTCAGAAAAATGGCAAAGGAATATGTCGATTTTGATGGTCCGGACGACTCCTTGAACCCTCTCAACTGGACCATTTCCAAACGGTATGTCCCTTGAACTCCAGCTGCAAAATGCCCCAGGAACCTAACCGATCGCAAATCTACGTAGGGTATACATAGCAGTATTACTGGCCCTCACCACCATGGTTGTGGCAATGGCAAGCAGCATCTTCACCGTAGCCATACCGAACATAATGGAGATTTACAACATCACCCGCGAGGTTGCAACTTTAGGTGTATCGCTTTACGTCTTTGGTTTTGCATCAGGGCCACTGTGCTGGGCACCATTTTCAGAATTGAAAGGACGATATTACCCTCTCGTGATTTCGACCTTTGGTTTCATGGTCTTCTCTTTTGCAACTGCAGCTTCAAAAGATCTCCAGTCACTCTTCATCCTAAGATACTTCACTGGGTTTTTCGGTTCAGGCCCTTTAACGTTAGCAGGGGCTGTATATGGTGATATCTTCACCCGAAAGGCTCGTGGTATGTCTATGGTTGCCTTTTGCCTCATGGTCTTCACTGGACCTCTCACTGCACCTTTTATTGGTGGATTCATCATGATGAATAGCGATCTCGGATGGCGCTGGACAGCGTATATTCCAGCAATACTCGGCGTTGCATGTTTCATTCTCTTACTTGTTACCCTCGACGAATCTTATCCCCCAGTCATACTGGCTCAGAAAGCAGACAAACTGCGGCGCGACACCGGCGATTGGTCTCTTCGAGCGAAACACGACGAACTAAAGCTTGATCTACGAACGATTGGGACGGACTTTGTGAGCCGACCGCTAAAGATGCTACTTTTCGATCCGATTGTGCTGTGTATGAGTGTTTTCGCCGCATTTGTTTACGGTCTGCTGTATCTTTTCCTGACTGCCTATCCGATCGTCTTCCAGAAGATCCATGGTATGAACCGGGGCGTTGGAGGGTTGCCCTTTATCGGGATAATCGTCGGTGAGGCTTTTGGGGCTATCGGGGTTTTTGCCATCCAGCCGTGGATACAACGCAAAGCGAAAATAAACGGCGGTGAAGTGATGCCGGAATGGCTGTTGGTAATAGCCATACCAGGAGCCATGTCATTTTCGGCCGGGTTGTTCTGGTTGGGTTGGACTGGTTATAAGGAACATACCCCTTGGATTGTTCCCACACTCTCCGGGCTTCTGACTGGGTTTGGATTGTTGACCATGTTCCTGCCGTCGATTGCTTATCTAGTTGAGGCACGACCAAAAACGTAAGTGTGATCCAATGTTAATTTCTCGTCAATTAAAGCAATTGTTCTAATAATTCACAGATCGGCGTCCGCTGTTGCCGCACACACGTTCCTACGGTCGATTGCTGGCGGTGTGTTTCCTCTTTTTGCATTTTATATGGTGAGCTAATTTCCTAATTTTGTATGGGGGCTGTGAACTAATGATTGATTTGTCAGTTTGATGCTCTCGGGGTCGAATGGGCCTGTACGGTGCTTGGATGCGTAGCAGCCATCCTGATTCCTGTTCCAGTATTGCTCTATGTATATGGTGCTCGGATCAGATTATCCTCTAGATCTTTAGAGATTGGCCAGCCGTGATAACGGCGGATTTGTTTGTGAAGGAGTTGGAAAATACCGGCAAGTAGTGGGTTGGATAACAATAGATTTAAAGAGGGAGGGGTTTACTAGACTTGACAGTCCACCTTACGCAACCATTTTATATATCCTCCGACTGACTCAACTCGTAGACTTTGCGGAATTAGTCCTTCCTCCAGGCTCATAGATAAAGAAATATACCCCATACACCCCACTACCACCATATGCAGAGTCGTCCTGGACGAGCTCTCCTATAAGTCGAAATCCCATACGTTTATACAGTTCAGCCCCCTCTGCCAAAGCGTGGACGAAAATATCTAACCCCATCTTGTCTGCCTGGTCCATTCCGCTCTTTACTAACGCCCTCCCAACTCCTTTACGCTGGTTGTCCGGATGCACAGCAAGGTATTCCAAAGCTGTTAACCGACACGTTAGACTAGGAGGAATTTCATGCCGATACGTAACTTACTCATATACGGTGTCTTTGGCGTCACTTCCTTCTCGAGTGCATTTACACGGTCTAACAGCACGTCGGCATCGTCGTTAGGATCCCAGACAACCGTCTCGGCAATCCGCCGGATCTCGGCCTCCTTCTCAGGCTCGACCGCCGGGACCTGGGCCTCGGGCCATATCAGCATGCCATCATCTGGGTTTGTCTTATGAGACGGTGGTAAGCGCCACCGGGCGTAGCCGAGTATACGACCCGTCTCTGGATCCACTGCTTTCTGATGTCGCAAAGTCTCCCGGTTGTTTAGTAGGTTGCGTGGAAACCGTAGGGCTATCTGCAAAATGTGGTACTCGAGGGTCCGATGGCGCCAGGCTAAGACCCAGTGCGGGTCAACCCAGAAAGCGGGGATGCTATTGGCAGCTAGGGCGGTGCCATCGGCGACGCTGCATTGGGAGAGTATAAAGTGAATCATGTTAGGCAAGGTGACAGAAATCTCGCTTTACGCTAAGATATGGGGTGCATGAAAGATGGGATATGTATGCCTCTAACTAAAATGACAAAAATCCTCTATTTATCCAGACAAGCTTACTAAACATAATATGTACTTCTCTACGGACCTTGGTAGCACGCCATCATGGCGGTCCGACGGTTGTCCGGGGTTCAATACACCTTGTCCCAGACGCTTTCTTGGTGAATAACGAGCAGGTAGCATTTTCCTCCAAGAACCTCGCATAATAATGCAAGTAGCTACTCTTTGTAGGAGATCCTGCAACAAATCCCATTCCCCACAAAGCTTCCAGATAAATTAACTACTGTGGCCATTGATATCGACTCTGTTGCTTCATCGAGAATTGATGTTTCAAAAGTTCCCCTCCTCCTATGGGGTGTTAGAATATGAATGAAATTAGGCGTGCCTGGTCAGAATAACATACCGTGGATAATCGACCTCGTCGGTCTCTATGTCGGTCAAGTTTTTCCCGTGATTTGGCCGCCGTGTTAAATAATGTATTTCAACATGAGATGGAATAGCTGCATAAAAGAAGTCAAGAATGTATATATTTGTCTTTGCTCTCAGTATTGCACTTTTGACCAATGCTAGGAGAGTAGAAATATACGGTGCTGCGGCGGCCTATGCTGCAGTATTAATTGTGTTCATTTCCGGAACAATAGGAGCAGTACCAGCCTGAGCTGTCCAGTTCTCACCCGTGTCTGTACACTCATCCCGATTTGGAAGGTCTGTTGTCACCAATGGCGCGTACTCTATAATAGGCCATGTGCTCCATTTTTCGTCCACATTATCTGGGGATTTCCAGGGATACCGGGGGAAGCTTCCCCGCAGTCAATCCGCGATTCGCCTGCTGATATGGATGGACTCTCGCTCGCCGCACTTTCGGATAAGTTATCCGGCTAATTCAATTCTACTTATTATTGGGGATCATTCCTGTTGGGATGTTTCCACCTTTGGAAGGTTCCACAGTATGATGTGTAAGCGGAAAGTGGCCCGGTGGAGGCTCCGAAAAGCTGCAGTCCGCGGGGATACCGGGGGTATACAAGCCGCATGCCCGTGACTGTAGATCACACTCAACATATTTGACTAGATGATTAAATATAACCCTATTTCTTGCATGGCACATTATCTAAAAAACCCAATTTGAGGATATCTTTTACTATATCTACTCTTCTTTCCTTGCTTTTGAAATAAGAATCAAAATGTCTGTTCCCTCTCAAAAGCCCCGGAAGGACTTCCCAAACCGCCCACAATTTTCAGGTTTCATGAAGCCATGCCGAGTTGAAGGAGAAGTTCTGAATCTAGAAGTGTATGGTGAAATACCGAAAGACATTGATGGGACATTCTACCGGGTGATGCCAGATCCCCAATTCTCGCCCTTCATCGAGAATGACCCAGTAAGCGACTTCACGCGAATGGTTAATTCCGAAATAGCAGGACATCTGACACTACAGCAGTGGTTCAACGGCGATGGCAATATCAGCGCCTTCAAAATCAAAGATGGTTCAGTCTCCTTCAAGCAGCGTTTTGTCCGAACAGAGAAATTTGTCCGGGAACGAGAGGCTCAAAGAGCATTGATTGGTACCCAACCGTTCATAAGCTCATAAAGAACCAGTGAGCTCATTTATTTATGTAGGCAAATACCGCAACAAATTTACCGATGCGGTGGAATTGAAGATCCGTACCACGGCGAACACAAATGTCGTTCACTTTAACGGCAAATTGCTGGCTCTGAAGGAAGACGCCCCGCCATATGCATTGGATCCTCACACCCTCGAGACAACTGGCCTGTACGACTTCGATGGACAGTTGCCCAGTTTGACTTTCACCGCGCACCCGAAATTCGACCCGCTCACAGGTGAGATGCTGTGCTTCGGATACGAAGCCAAGGGGGATGGAACACCTGATATTTGTTATTATCGCATTGCACCCGACGGAAAGTTCATGGAAACTGTCTGGTTGATTGCGCCTGTTTTAGCTATGATACACGATTTTGCGGTCACCGAGAACTGGGTGAGTGGTGATTCATGTATTTTCTTTTAGCAACCTCTTTTCTGATATTGTTCCATCTTGTTATTCTAGGTCGTTTTCCCAATCATTCCTCAACTCTGCGACATTGAGAGGATGAAACAGGGCGGCGAGCACTGGCAGTGGAGCCCTGAAACTCCATTCTATATTGGAGTCCTTCCACGACGAGGAGCAAAGCCATCCGATCTCAAGGTATATTCCCAACAGCTTGTTGCTCTCTTTCCGCCATCTAATAATTTGTCGCCGTTCCTAGTGGTTCCGCTACCAAAACTCTTTCCCGGGCCATGTAGCCAACGCCTACGAAGACGAATTCGGCAACATCATACTCGATCTCGGACTAAGCGCGATGAACGTCTTCTTCTGGTGGCCGGATGCGCAAGGAAAATCCCCTGAGCCGAGTTCTATCCACTCTCAGCTAACCCGGTTCACCATCAACCCAAAATCCGAGGAGCTTGACTTGGTGAACCCAACGGTTCTCCAAAGCGACAACTCGGAATTCTACCGTATTGACGACCGCTTCACCACCAAGCCGTACAAGCACTGTTTCTTCGACCTGATGAACCCTGCCCTTGGAACCGATTTCCCGACTATCACGCCTCAACTGGGCGGTGGATATCCGCTGTATAACGCTCTGGCGCATTTGAATATTGAGACTGGGGTAACAGAAATCTACTTCCCTGGGAAGACACATATGGTGCAAGAGCCAGTTTTCATTCCGCGACGCGGATCTAGCGTTGAGGGTGATGGGTATGTGATGGCTTTGGTGAATAACTATGTTTCCATGTGTAGCGAGCTGCACTTACTAGATACGAGAGATTTCACCAGGGCAAAGGCTATCATTCTGATGCCACTTCGGTTAAGGCAGGGTTTGCACGGGAATTGGGTTGAGGGTGAGGATCTGGAGGTTGGGGCTTATCGCAGAACCTAGGGCCAATGGAGCAACGGCGAGGAACTTAGTTTACTTTCACATGATTATTGAAAATTAGCTCGGGCTTAGCGGGACCTAGAGGTGATCGAGTCAGCTAAGTCGAAGTCAAATAATATTTTTAGGAGAAAAGGAGAAAAAGGAGGGGTGCGTCACCTTCTGGGAGAATTCTCAAGTTTCCGCAACATGATTGGTCAAGGAGACACCTAGGTTTCACTACAACTTCCCGACGTCGCATATCATCCCAGGCTTTCTCTTTTGAGACTTACTCTCACATTTATCCCATGGCAGACTATCCTCAGTATTCGACCCCGTCGGTGGGTGCTTCCAATCACATCCAACAGACAAAAATACAGGGCCCCAAGCGCAAGAGAGTGTCCGTGGCATGTCGGCCCTGTAGGATCCGCAAGTCTCGTGTATGTTATACCATCGCCATTGATATATTTTAGAGCTGATGGCTCAATTTTCCAATATCACAGTGCGATGGCGCACGGCCATGTTCGACATGCGAAGATATGGGCGCGGAGTGCAGATATGAGCAGCCGTACAGCCAGCCTGTAGCGACAACTAACCCCGGCAACAGTGAGCGGTGAGTTAAATTGTTTGGCATATCTTGTGATCTAAACTCATCGGTTTAGGCAAGAGGGGAGTCTGCTCGAGCAGCGGGTACAGGCATTAGAAAAAAGGTTGCGGCTTTCCGGCCTAAACGAGCAATTCGATAGTCCTCAAATCCACACAGCCACTTCTCCCCAAATCCAGGAGAACCATGAATCCCAACGTAGTCCGGGAGTGAAAGGGCCGTTGGATCAAGACGACGAAGTGGATGGTATGGGCGCCGTAGCGCTCAGAGATGGGGTTGACGAAGAAGAATACTTCGGTAAAGTTCGATTTATCCCGGCAAAATATTTTATGGGACTCTGTCTAAAGATTTTAAAGGCGCTTCATCGAATGTGGCTTTCTTGCGCCTCATCATTCACGCTGTTGGCCATCCAGTCAGCCCGTCCGGCAATGTACCTCTCTCAAACACAGACGCTTCCACCGACGGCCAATCAAACGATAACCACTTCGATGCATTCCTGAGAAGGCCACCGGGTATTAGTAGTCTACCCGAGACTAAGGGAAGAGTCCGCGTCGATCCCTTTGCGCTTCCTCCTCAAATGGAAGCAAACGCCTTGTTGCATTTGTTCTTCACCACGATCAATCTAATGATTCCCTGCATCCATGAAGACTCGTTCCGAGACATGTACAACAAGATGCAAGTTAGCGGGACTCGGAATGTTCGCAGATCCTGGCTAGGAAGTCTAAATGTCGTATTCGCCCTCGCGACAAATGTGATGACGGCAACTTCACCAGATATTGAAAGGGCTACGAGATCCAGTATGTACTTCGAGAGAGCGATGGAATTAGTAAAATCAGATATGCTGGGGCGTCTTTCATTAGAAATGGGTATGGCACACACTTGATACCTTACATTCAACCCACACTGACGTGCTCAGTGCAATTATTCCTTTTGATGGAGGCGTACCTTGAAGGAACTACGTCTTCATCACTTGCCTGGACGTTGCATGGCCTGGCTGTGAAAGGGGCATACCAGCTTGGTCTTCACGTCATGAACTTGAAGAGCATCTCGCAAATCGATCGGGAGGTGCGCAGGAGATCATGGTATTGGTGTGTTATGAATGATCGGTATGTGGCTATAATTCCGTACATGGTGCAGTATACTAACGATGAAAAGGTTCCTGAGCGTGACTTACGGACGGCCCCCTTTGATTCCCTTGTCCCATGTGAGACCCGAGGCAAGCCCCTATCTACCATTCAGCAATGCGCCGAGTGGTGTTACCGTATCCAGTCTGGCTTATTTTGATGCTATGATGTGAGCAAATCTTCATGGAAGACTTTTGCAGCGTTGACTGATTTTGATAGGTCCGTTACTCACATCATGGGCGACGCCCTGGAGCATCTCTACGATCAAAACCTCGGGTTTCGCACCCATCTCCCCATGAGTGAAACCCTTAATCAGATCTCCAAACTACGCTGGGAACTCGCCCAGTGGCAGGATACTCTCCCACCATCTCTACAAATTATAACCTCTCAGGAGGCGGTGTATGATGTCCCTTTGACAGCCGGAACCATGAGACTCCGCGTCCTACTTTCTCTCCGCTTTCTCGGTGCGAGAATACTCATTCTACGCCCAGTACTAAGTCAATTCCTCGATCTGCCTGGTACGACAGCCTCAAACGAACACCAGGCGGAATGGTTGCGGAATTCAGGTGCTGTTTTGCTAGCGGATTTGGTCCGCACGTGTGGCGATATCCTGCAAATCAGTAATAACATATTGTCTGGTTCCAAAACTGATGGGAATTTACTTGGGGCATGGTGGTTTTCTTGTTATTATAGTATGCATACCCTGGGTCTTATGACGGTTGATTAGATACTAACTACGCGCAGCTTTCAACTCATCCCTGGCGGTCTTGGGAATCCTTCTGATAAAAAGAATCCCCGCATACTCCGGACAATTATCTACCTTTTCCGTGTCTGAACTACGGGGTCTGCTCGAGACAGCTGTGGAGATCCTAGGTGGGCTGAACAAAGGCAGTGAAACCGTCATGCGCTGTCGAGATACTTTGACGAGGCTTATCACTGCATTTGATTTTGATGGTAAGGATGGCCATCCATTTCTTGATACCACCTCATGTGACTGACAAATCAACGTGCAGCAAATGTAGCCGGATGCGCACCAGCATCATTCTCACTATCCCCATCCAGCGCGTGGGCGTGGCAACTGGTTAATCCAGGCTTGTTCAGCTCGGAAGTACCCTTAAGTCTTGCTCCAGGGACGTTTGATCCTCTGCCTGGCTCTCAGTTGCCCATGTCGACTAATCTTGGAGTGCGCCCGGAGCACGACGTCTCTCATTTCCCTGGATGAGTTGTCGTGACTCCACCCGTATTGTAGAAAAGTACAGATTTTTGATAGGATGCCGTTCCAAGCAGAACTGCCCGTAAGCGGTGGAGAGAATAGATCAATGAGAACCTTGGAAGACCAGAATAATAATTGGGGCAGAAATAGACCAACGGGAGCATAGGAAGCTAGGAGCGGTAGGAGCAAAACGGATATGTGCATCCATGGATGGTCCCGCGGTCGAACTGCATATTTACGTCATCATCTTCACCTCCCCACGATTTCCAGAACTCATTCTTTCCCACCCCATGCTGCTAACTTGTAGGCTACAACATGTCTGAGAAGATCAAAGATGCAGTGCTTGCCGAAGCCAAAAATACTCAAGCAGTTGCTCATGATGTAATTACGTCGGGCGCATACTTGTATCCATTCAAGGTAAGTAGCTATGCCATTCGAAAAGAGTTCTTTCCGACCGTTTCTGACTGCAATTGAATGGACCTTAGGGAATCATCTACTTTGCGACCCACAAAGACCTCTGGCGCCCTTTTATATCTCGCGCCGGCCGAACTATCACGCTCGGAGTAGGCGTCACGTCCGTCATGTTCTTCTTCACGTACGTGCCACAGATGGCCATCATGGCCTTCACTAGTGGCCCATTGGCTGCTATTTCCGCAGCGATTCTGGTCCTTGGCGAAAGTTCCACCATAACAAACGTCCTTTCACGCTCCTTCCTCGTCGAAGATGCCCTGGTCGATACCTTTGATGGCACCTTGGTCGCGCGTGACCAGGAGCCACTCGTAGCACAAGGACGCCAGATGAAACCCCGATCGGGAGGGAAAGATGCGATGGCTAGGCTGGGTAAGATATTTACCCGCCCTCTGGCGCGGCTGAACCCACGGGTGCTGCTGCGATCGTTGCTGTACCTACCCCTGAACCTTATTCCTGTGGTCGGGACGGTGTTGTATATTTTTATGCAGGGAAAAAGAGCAGGACCGGTACTTCATGCCAGATACTTCCAGCTCAAGGGCTGGGACTCTACTATGCGAGAGGAGTGGGTGAAGAAAAACCAGGGGGCGTACACTGGGTACGTAAACTCCATCTTGTTCCCTTTTCTCCTCGGGCGCCATCTGGTCACATACTGATTTGTCCCCTCAGACTTGGAATTGCAGCCTTTGTTTTGGAAATGATACCATTTGCCTCGATCGTATTTTCATTTACGAACACTGTTGGCGCGGCTCTCTGGGCTGCGGATTTGGAGAAGGCAACCAAGTAGCCGATTGACCATCTGCAGCAAACTCAACTAATCGTGAAATATGTCAAGCCCAGAGATTGGATTCAGCTGTGGCGCTCTTTGTTTAGGCTGTGTAAAAGATGCACTCAAGTTATTGTTTGATTTTTACATACATAGTTACATGTATAATTATTCTGATGAATTTTGTCGATCATTGGTCCCGGAAGGATGCATCCACGGGTGTCCCAAAGCTTGGCACAGCTTTATCTAGAGAGCATTGTCACATGTATGCAAGAGATCCTCCACTTTTCCATTGAGACCAAGAGTATACCAATTTGCCTCCACCCATGCAGAACCATCCGATCATATATCCTCACCACAATTTAGAGCGAAATCCTCCCGAACCTGATCCATGTCTAGATGTTCCAGCCAGCTACTGTACCAGTCCAGAAATTCGACGATGGAGTCGAATCTTGGCTTCTGCCCGTAGACTGTCTCGGTGTTATCCACAATATCGGCATCAGAAATGACCACCCGCCACGCCCAGTCCTTGTGGCTGTGATCAGAGTCTTCCACCCACCGTCGACAGTAGAGTAGAGTAAGAAGTTCAAAGAGTCCAAAAGGTTAGGATCGGGAAGAGACTTAAATCATTACGATAACTTAGGCAACAGGGCTTGGAATGTATCAGAAGGAGCAAAACTAGTGGGGGTTTCCCTGTTGGAGCCTAGAATGCGCGCTTGGTGAAGGAAAGTTCGACCGAACAGTTTCCAAGAAAATAAATCTCTATTCACAGGACTTTCTCAAATTCCACAAAACAAAGATCATCTGGCAACACCAGGTTCTCGAACTTCTCGCGAGGAAAGGGGCTTGTTTCACCCGTCGGTTTGTATCCCCGACGCAGATACCACGAGATAAGTTGCTGGCGATTTGAAAGGGCGTTTAATCCCAGTGTCGTGACACCCCAAGTCCGCTGACAATAGTCTTCAGCATATGCCAAGACCTGTCGCCCAATGCCGCCGCGCTGTTGGTTGGTATCAATGGCGAGCATGAAAAGACGAGCGTGGGTTGTGTCGCGCTTGGATGTCCCGATCGAGCCGACGAGCGTATTTTGAGCGTTGGTTGCCATTAACATGACGCTGTCCGGCTTGGTGATCATGGCCACAATCTCTTGGACATCGAGGCGGAAGCTCGACGAGAGACCTAGATCGTCTGTCCAGCCTTTTCTGCTGTCCTCGGCGCGGAATGCTGATTCCACTAACTGCTGGAGTTGAGCCGCATCCTTTTCGGTCGCGACGCGAAAATTAAGCTCGTTCATTTTAGCTGGAGAAATCTTCAGGATTTTGATATTTGGTGACCTCTAGATCTTTTAATTGTACTAGGAAGATTTTGATGCTTAAATACATCTGCGAATGGGGTATTTGGTTAACCTGAAATCAAACCATGTAGTAGGGCGCGAGATTGGCGGGAAATCCCGCACAGGGCGTAATCTCTGCGAGTTCTTGTGCCTCTCTTCCAAATCCCGATAACGAATTTAAGACATTTCACGATGGAAAAAATGGCGAAATGGTGGAAATCCAATCATAAAAACGACAACCGAAAAAAGGCCAACTACTGTTAGCAGCGCATAGGCTGGATTGCCGAAAGCCGGCTAAGTAGGCCTTCCGTGTTCTATATAACATAAGATATAGGGGAGCCCACAATGGCATATGTGTCGGTATAGATAGGTACATTGAAGATTGATCCCGACATTTCTGCAGAGCCTAAGGATTTAGAAATAGCCTATATCTCTATAACAGTAGTAGCCTTAGGTAGCCTTAGCTTGATCTGGTATCAATATTCGCGGTTACAATCAAGCCTACCGCGAACCATACTTCTCAAGCTTATATAAATTATCTAGATCTATCCAATTTTTGAATTGGACGAGATTGAACCATTCTTAGATAATTTTCATGTCCTCGAACTTTACGTGTTTGGAGGTATATTTAAGAATGCAGTCAGTAATATATTCACAAATTTTTAGACCTATTTCTCGCCGGCTGTAATAACACTTTTATACAGAGCACGCTGTCATAGTGGTCTATAGGTTTCCCCGAGCTTAATACCCTATAGTTTACCCTCTAGCTCGATGCTATATATCACGATAGTAATGTAGATGACGTCATTTATAGAGATCGGAGATGCAAACGCTTGGACCACCTCCCTTATTTTGGAAGGTCACAATCTCCCTCAAGACAGTGCCCATATCACAACCTCCTATTATGACGACGGCAGCGATATTCGGCTGCACTGGAGCAGTTGGCTCTCAGATCCTGGCCACGCTCCTCGCGACAGACACATTTTCAACAGTGAAGACTATCTCCAGGAGACTCCCAAATGCGCAGTCTGCTAAGCTCGAAGCACTCGAGGAAAGCGACACCTCAAAATGGGGAGGCATGATCTCATCTCTGTCGCCGAAGCCATCGGTAGTTTTTAATGCTGTCGGTACTACAACAGCGACAGCGGGCAGTATCAAGAATCAGTGGAAGATTGATCATGATTTATGTGTCGAGAATGCTCGAGCAGCTAAGGAGGCAGGCGTGAAAACATACATTTATATTTCTAGTGGAGGCACTAGAAGCTTTCTCTGGGGCTGGGTTCCATACTCGAAGATGAAGGTTGGCGTCGAGGATGCTATCAAGGAGCTTAATTTTGACAATGCTATCATTCTGAGACCGGGGATGATTATTGGAAGGGAGGAATCCAAGTCTTTCCTTTTAGAAAAGTTTGTCGAAGGCCTTCAGAAGCTTGGACAGGGTGTCCAGGACAAAGTTGGTATGGCTGTGCTGATCAATACTGGAGTTTCCGAAGTTTCAAAGCTAACTTGCGCGAGCAGGGCAAAATCAAACTACTATTGGCAGAGCGGCTGTAGCGGCTGCTCGTGTGGCTGAAGAGGGCAAAGCCCCATCGAACTATTGGGTTCTGGAACAGGCTGATATTGTCAGGCTTGGGAGAGACGAGTGGAAAGAGTAAGGTGCGTCAAAGTGCCAGGGTTTGGGAGGTAGTGCTTCTTTCTAGTTAGGGATTATCTTTGTGTAACAACGATGTAACAAGGAAAATAACAAATCGTAAATGGCAAAAATCATCAATTTATGTACATCACGCACTAGCCAAGAAAGGAGTTTCCCCATGGTATCAATAATCATCAACAAGTAAAAATAAACATGATATAAAATAGGACGTCTCAGGGCACAAGAAGGTAGGTCGAAAGAGAAAGACCGAAGTCTAAAAGGAAAGAGCCAATGATTCTAGAATGGAGACATCGAGGCTAATGCCCAAAGGGCGAAGCCAAGAAAGCCCAAGGAGAGCCGGGGGTTCCTATGATGAGAAGCCGAGTCAGCATCCAGAGGACAGCGTATATTTCCCATCTTGAAGAAAGCTCTTCGGTCATACTCGAAGAACCAATCCTGCTAAGAATTCTGGAGGGTGGACGTCAGGCGTGAATTTGCACGTATGCGTACTAAGACCAATTACAGCAATCAATCCTTCTTGAAATCATCCACATAACCGAGGAATTCCCTCCGATCATCACAAATGCGGGCATATTCCAAGAGAAGTCTGTATGTGTAGATTTCCATGTCCTCCCGTCGGAGAACCTTCTCACCCCAAGCTTTCCCAGCAAGGGCAATTTTACGGGCTGCTTTGTCACGGCCGCCGAGGAAATAAGCCATAATTCCATAGAAATCGATGTACGTGGTATCCATGGGGACAAAGTGTATCCAAGGGATCAGTCGCGAGTCGTGCCACTCATTGTAGATAG